GAGAGAGAGAGAGAGAGAGAGAGAGAGAGAGAGAGAGAGAGAGAGAGAGAGAGAGAGAGACTGAGATCATACAAGTGCTTAGAGGTGCACATGCACCTCTCTAGCCTGCATCCTGTGTGAGGAGTAAAGCAGCCACACACCCTGTGGTCTTTTGCTATATTCCCCTAACCCCAGAGCCCCCAAGCTGCCATTGCTGTGCTTATGATGTTTCCCTCTCCAGTTGGGATATGACTCTGTTCCATGCCTGTCAAACAATGTTTAAGCATTTGCATTTGAGAGGAACCTGAAACACAGTTTACTGGGTGATTTTTAAACACACTTAAACAAGAATTCAGTCCTCACGTTTTTTAATTATTCTTCCTGCAATTACCTGAAACACAGATTTGTAAGACTTGGCTGGATAAACAAATATGATCCTATGTAAATGTTCTTTTCAAATGTCAGATCAGTTCCTCCCAAGAGCCTGCATACCAGAAAATTTACCTTGAGTGGCACATTTCAAATCTGTTTCGAATAAAGTCTGTCTAGATTTATGAAGTCATTTTTCAGTGTCTTAGAGAATCAATTGTGGATAAAAAGGAAAAATGGGAAAGGAGTGTTGGCTTTGTGAAGTTAGCTAGTTGGTTGATTGATTGGTCATTTCTCTTGTCCCTGTCCTCATCATTCACCATCCCTCTCTTTCCGCACACATTTACTTGAGTTCTATTATACAGTAGATTCCTTGCTCAGGACATACAAAAACATGGACCATCTAGTGGAAGATTCAGGAAAATGCATCACTACAGTACATGGATGACTATGCTCTTTAACCTGTCTTGTGCTGCTGTAACAGAAACAGGAGACAGGGTCACTCATAGGAACAGTTGTTGGCTGGCATTTCTGGATGATGGGAAGTCTGATATGAAGGTGTCAGTATGTATCAAGGCCAAATGGCTGAGTCACTCACCATGGGACAGAAGGAAAGAAGCCGAGGAACTGCAGTTCAGAAACACTAACCTCACAAGGACAGTGGGGCTCTCATGGCTTAATCACCTCTTAAAGATCCTGCTTCTTAGTTTGTTTTCATGGTAGTTAAATCTCAGTGCTACCTTTGGTGAGCACAAATGCTCAAACAGTTATCTATGTGGCATCTGCTAAGTGTGAAGATCAGTACTTCCATGTGAAATCCAGTGACTATGGATTAGTGTGAACTGGGAGGGACATAACCATGTTGTCAAGACATGTCTCTGTCAATGGCTCCATTGAACCAATGGCCCCATACTTGTTTAGTGTTACCAATGCAACCTTAGAAAGTACCTCACTAGGGAAGGCTAGAAAGTTAGCTATTGAATTTACTATTCAGCTCAAGATTGTGCAACATCTGAGACTTCTCTCTTTACTTCTTGTAGCATAAGTGAGCTATTAGGTAAGTAGCACATTTCTCACTGGCTCACCTACAAGTTGTAGTAAATTCAAAATTATCCTATTGGGAAGGATATTGGTGCAATTATTATGGCCACTCCACATAGTTAAAAGGAAGATTTATTTAGTGGGTAACTTACAAAAAAGGGAAAGGTAGGTTGTGGGGTCTGGGGAAGGTGTATCGAAGTCCAGCAGTATTCTCTGGAGCTCTGCTTGGTCAACCTCCACCATCTAGGGTCCCGGAACAGAGAGAGCGTGCTGGCCCATCCAGATCTCGAGTGTCTCTGTACCTCCCTTAGCCCTGTCTTGTAGGCATGACAGTTGCCAAAGCCTCAATGGGGGTTGGAATTTCCAGATCAAAGCTGGAATGGCTACAGAAGGACACATTTATTGCAAGCGTCCTTGGAGGCTGAAGATGGGAGATAAACAATATCCTCCTGTAAGAGTTTCCTTTCTTATGGACTCAACACAGACATGCTGTTAGGATTTGCTCAAATACTTAACTATAGAGATGGATTGGGAGCAGCTCTTTTGACTCAAACAAATCTTCCTGAGTTTTGGTTGGCTATGATACTCACTAGCATTGTGAATTTGAACCCCTCCAACCTTCATTTTCTCTATCTATGAAAGGAAGTCATACCGTGTTTGAGGGCTAGGAGAAGTAGCCACAATAGTGCACACTGAAAAACAGTCCCCAACCTTTTCCAGAGAAAATGGCTAAGAAATGAGAAGGTGCATTTTTCTTTCCAATGAAATATAACCTCTCCTGCTCTCCCTATCTTTTCAGACAACTGTGATGACCCATTGGCCTCCTTCCTCTCACCAATGGCTTTCTCCAGCTCCTCAGATCTCACTGGAAGTTCCAGCCAGGCTCAGTTGAACTGGAGAATGGGTAAGTATTGTGACTAAGCCCTAAATCCATGTGTTAGATGAAGACACAGTGAAGGCTTAGGAATGAGGAAGTACTGTGTCTATGCAGGAGTCACATCCAAAGTCAAAATCCAGAAGGAAATCTAGGAGGTTCAGTCTCTCACAAAAATACTTCCCATCATGTAATAGATAGTCACCACGTGCTGAACCACATCCCTCCAACTCAAAGATCCACCAAGCAATTATTTTGGGTTTGTATTGTTTTTCTTGAGGTGCTAGCCCTGGAAACCATGGCTTCAGGCGTGTTAGAAAAGTGCTCTCTCATGGAAGCACCATAGCCATGCTGTGAAATTCTTTGTGTATGTGTGCATGTACTTGTTTGTGTACAGATAACATATGAGTATATATGCAGGTACACATGTATGCACTATGTCCTGGGGGAGGGACAGAGGAGAACCTTGAGTGATGTTCTTATGGGCCATCTACTCTATAATGAGGAAGGGTGTCTTACTGGCCTTAAGCTTGAAGGTTAGGCTGCCTGGCTCTCTGTCTTTGCCTGATTGCAAGCATGTATCAGCAGGCTTATTATTTTTTTTAAGAAGGATTCTGTGGGATCGAACTCAATTTATCCACTCAGCCATCCCCAACCCTATGCTATGAATTCCTTTTTTGGTCATCCTAAGAAATATTGTAGAAGATTATTTTTAAAAAATATTTGCTTTATTATGAACATTTCACATGTCAGCATAAATGGTCATCAAAACATGCTTCATTACTTTAATGGAATGCTTATTAAAATATTTCAATACATTTAGTTCTATTGTGAGATTAATGTTACTATTTTAAAGTAAATAGTAAATGTACTTAATTAAAGGTAGGAACCCAAATAATCTGTAACCCTACCAGATAGTGGGTACTATGTATTATTACTTGGTCTGATAAAACTAGAGTAATTACACGTAACTAATCTCTAATGCAAACTGAACTTATCCAACAGGATGTTGGATATTGAGCTGTATTTTAATCATATTTTGATATTGATTTTGTTATATATAGAGATAGATACAGAGAACTAA